CATGCTAGAGTGAATTTAAGTGTGAAACACACATATTCAGAGCGTAAGTACTAGGTGCAGTCAAGTAGGACCATAACTAAATTACAACACCTGAAGGTGAGTCCTACATTTATGTAGTCTGTCAGTACGCCGTGGAAATCCTCATGGGCCACCAACGCTGCTAATTAGAACCTGAAGGGGCACAAAACAAAATTGAGTGGGTCAGTAAAACAAAGCCTTTTTGAAAACATTTCAATTAATAACATTTCTAACCTCTCGCTGTAAAACCTGTATACTTTCCCAGAAAATAACATAATATACATATAAATCTTCATATATCTCAAATCACCAATCTATATCAAAAATCAGAAAGTATGCCATGCATAAATGTCAATAACAGAATAAGGATGCATCAATATAACAGGTGAAATAATGAATCAACCGGAGACCCTACAGTTGGTCCTGTATAGTTAATTCTAAAGCTCAATATCCAATCCAACCGGAGTCACCGCAGTGACCTGTACGGCGCTACTCTGCACATAAATCGGAACTACCTGAAGTAGTCTGTACAATAAGAAAGGTGTAAGAATAAGCTCTAGTGCTTCTCTCATCAACAGTTGTATAATAATCTAAAATCACCTACAGTCGGAACCACTCTATGGTCTGTACGACATGTCGGAACCCTTTCATGGTCTGTACGACATGCACCTACTTGGATCCAAGGTGAGCTTGTGGTGCGGGGTGAATAATATAAGCACTAACACCAAGGGTGCAGGTTATGAGCTCTCAACACAATTCACATCATCAATCAATCATATGAACAATATAAACTCACCTGATACTCACATGTGCGTCCACAACACCATTTCACATATATATGCATCAATTACTAATTCATATAATTCATAATATGCATGCATGGCATTTTAAAAACATTTAAATTCAATTTCTGGGAAATTCAGTAGTCTATAGGTAATAACAGAAAATAACTGCCCACTCACTGGTAAGTCGAAGGGTCGCAACCCCCGTGACGTCCTTGAATGTGCTCGTCCTCGGGATAGGTATCACCTATATGCAAAACAACTATAAAAACGTTAATTAAAGCACATAACCAACAATTTGAAATAACTTCTCATATGATGCTCAATTTGGGTATATGAATATACCACAGTGACCTACTCGACATCACGGACGTCGAGGTATTTTTAGAAAAAAATTTCGAGGCCGCACGCGCCCCCACGCGCCGGGAGGGGCACTGACCCACGCGGCCCCACGCGTGTCACCTTCTTCCTCCCGTCGCCAGACTGGTTTTGCCGGTCGCTGGAAAACGGGAGATTTTTAAATCTCCTTGTTCTCCGTCATTTCTCAACCATTTTTCACGCATTTTATATCAAAATGAAGCCCTAAGCATGAAGAATCACGTTACACTACTTTAAGGTTTAAAAACATACGAAATCTCACCGGAGAAATTCCAAGAAAACCGGCCAACTTCGAACCCGGCGATCCCGACGTCCAAAATCTTCAAACTAAACACTCCGAGCTTCCTTGGGACCTCAATAAGCTCTCTGTAAGCTTAGAATTCCCTGAAATTCAACAATTCACGTGTGCAAGAACAGTGATTTCAAAATGGAGTTCGGATTTCACGTGATTTCGAAGGTTCTAAGTCCCAAAAAATGGTACCATTCAACTCAGGAGGTTGCAAGGATGAAGAAACTCACCTTATTGGCGTCGATCCGTGATGTTTTGAGGGATTTTGGGTTCTTGTCCGTACGGTTCGAGAGAGAGAAAGAGAGAAACTGAGAGGGAAGAGAGAGAGCACGGGATAAGAGAGAGAGAGGAGTCTGATGGTGAGGGTATATGGTCCACCTAAGTCCCTAACCACATAAAAATAATGCATACAATTTTAATCCAATTAAATTTCTAAAACTTAGAAAAGTATGCACTATTCAAATAATATGTCACACATACCTTAGCAACCGCTAAGGGCAATTTTGTCATTTCACACCCACGATAACCGAATTTTTGGGACGGGTTGTGATAGTAAGTGCCAGGTAAGTTCATAAATTAAATTATGTAATTGTCGAGTTGATATGATTGAAAGCTCATAAACCTGCACTAGGGTGATTGTGATTTAGTAGAGATGATTCATGCTTGTATTTATATAGTCACCCCCGCACCATATGCTCACAATTGGATCCAATTTAGGTGTCACATCCCGGCCCGGGTTCCACCACATCGCGAGCCCAATCCACCATCGTAGCACGATATTGTCCGCTTTGGGCTTACTATTCCCTCATAGTTTTGTTTTTGGGAACTCACGAGCAACTTGGGAGTGCTCTCGTGTGAGTTCCCAGAAACAAAACCGTGAGGGCGTGGTCGGGGCTCAAAGCGGACTATATCGTGCTACGGTGGTGGAGCGGGCCCGGGAAGTGATCCATCCCGGGTCGGGATGTGACATATTTAGAGTCCATAAGTTCAATAATATAGTGCCACATGAATTATAAAAAATAAATATTCATTTAAATTATTAGAAGTCCTAAATTTGTAAAAAATAAAAAGGATAAAACAAAAAATTAAAAAGGCAGAATTTTACAACGCTCGTGACCTAGGATTTGCTCCTGAAAGCGTTAGTGCTGCCATCTCTGGAAGAAGTGACGAAATTGGTCTCAACCATTTTAAACATTCCAAATAAGTACCCAACTTATTGAAAATATCACATTCGTTAAGCCCTAGTTCTATTAAATTACTTTGTCTAATAAAGAAGATGGTTAAGAATTCAAATGAGGTAGTTCTATTAAATTACCTTGTCTAATAAAGAAGATGGTTAAGAATTCAAATGAGGTTTGAAGGAGCTTATTTCTGCTCATGTGATTTCCTCATAAGTTGATTGAAGATGGTAAAGTCGAAATCAACGAGGGCACAACTATGAAAAAATTAAAGCCCAAGGCTCGATGATGGGGTTATCCTATTAAAAGATATGTGGCCACATATGAGAGTCCATTCCATTTCAATAACCTCCATGACCTTCTCTCCGATGTTGACGGCTAGAGGTGATGGCATGATGGGGCTGATGGTGACCGTTCGTTAGTGGATGCTCACCCTCCTAATATAATTTCAATATGAATCTATTTTCAATTCAATTCAATACCCGTTTGTTTATTGGGTTACATATTACATAATCTATATTTGAAAGTCAAATTTTAGTCTGACTAATATTGTTGACCATAATATACCCAATTTGTGGATTTTGGGCATAATTTATGTTTAGAATATTAATTGGGCTTAACGAATGTGTCATTTTTAATACGTTAGATTCTTGTTTGAAAAATATTTTAAAAAATTAAGACCAATTTAGAATGACAATAAAAATTAAGATGTTTTTAGTCATAAAAAAATTAACAAATTTTAACAATAATGACTAAATTAATGTGGGTGAATCAATTTCAAAGGCGACATTTATGGATTATGAGATTATAGGACAAAAATAAAGAGTTTAATCACTTTCAGATACGTTTTATTAAAAAAAAAAACCTCCTTCTATTTAAGTTTCAAATGAACTTCACAGTTTTAAAGTGTTCTGAGAGCAGACAGGTGTCGCAAAAGCTAGCCAAAGGATACAAAAGGGCAGGGGCATTTGGAGAATTCCATCACATCACAGAATTGATATTGTGAGATTATGATCCTATCCGGATCTTTATAGTGGGAATCCGGAGAATTAATCTATCGTATTTATTTATCGTACATTGTACGGTTGTAAATTATTTTAATTTTTTTATTTAAAATTGAATACAAACAATATCTAATAAAAATTAATCGTACGATGTATGATAAATAAACACGATTAATTGATTATCTAGATCTCCATAGAAAGGGTTCGAAGAGAATCCTGTTTGCTATCTAGTAAGGTCAGACTTTGCCATCTAAGGTAATTAATTTGGTACCAATGGCTTGGTGACAGATTTTTGTCTAAATGAATAAATAAAAAAACACTATTAAATTGTCAATTAATAGTGCGATTTAGTGGTATTTCGTATTCTTTGTAAGTTAAAGATTTTAGGTTTGAAGTGTAAATGATGAGTTTGTAACTAATTTGTTCCCCCACCTCTTGAACTAAAAATAAAACACTTGATTGCTACCATTTGAGTCGGGACACTCAAAAGTAGGTCATGTAGTGTGACGATATGATCTAATGAAGGGGATTCGTATGTAATTAGTAGTGTGTGATGGGATACAATTATATATTTACATTAAAGAGATGAAAATCAAATTGGTAACAAACTCATTAGACCATCTCCAACTCTTGGGCTAAAACCTAAAATTGTTTGCCTAGAAAATTTAGGTTTTAGCCCAGAAGTAACTTTTCAACTCCAACTCTTCTAGCATAAGATTATTAAAGAATACATTTAGGCTAATTTTGTATTTTAAAGTAATTAAAAAAAATTATGTACACTATCATAATTTAATTTTATGAACATTTTAACCTAAAATTATTTAAATTCCGATAAATATTGACAAATCAGGTAAATTTGGGTGAATTTTGAGTTAAATAATTTTTTAAATAATTTTAGCCGTTGGATTTAAATTTGGGTCATTAGATCTTTTTTTACCGTTAGATTTCAATCTTAGTGGTTGAATTCAATAAATCCTGAGAGACATGCCCATGTGGGTGAGGTCCTGTTGGTGGTGGCCACACCATTTTCTGGGTTAAATCATGAGGAGAATTTGGCTTTTGTTTGGCTTTTAGTTTTTAGCCCACACACTTAATATGGATTAAATTGAGTTTGGGGGAAATAAAACTTAAAAAATAGCATTTAGCCCAAAATTGAGTTTGGTCAAAAAATAAAGTATATATTAAAAAAATAAAAGCGAAAACGAAAACGAAAACGAAAACGAAAACGAAAGCATCTTTTATAGCTTGCGAAAGCCATTGCGCAACAATTCACAAACCGACAAAATTCAATTGTAAATAAAAGGAGCTTCCAAATTTCGAAACGTAAAATCTGCAGAGTGAGGGGAGAGAGAGAGAGATGAGCAGCGGAGCAGGGAAGGTCGTGTGCGTCACCGGTGCGTCTGGATACATTGCTTCATGGCTCGTTAAGCTTCTTCTCCAGCGCGGCTACACCGTCAAGGCCTCTATTCGCGACCCAAGTCTGTACATTTCTCCCTCCCTTTGCTCTCGTTAAGTTTCGGTTTTTCTTGTTCGTTTTGGCGTGTGATCGTATGGATTCTTGCAATTTAGATTAATGCATGCGGAATTGGTGAATACCCATGTTTCAGAAATTGTAATATTTGATTGATTATTCTTTGTCCTGATTGAAGATTTTGATGGTTTTCTGGGATTTTGAGAACCTGTTAGTGGGTATTGCTTTGAAATTGATGGGTCCGATTCTTCATTTCTTGAGGTGTGGAAGTGAGGGAATTGCAGTTTAGAGATGTGTTCTTAGCTTTTATGGGTATTATTTTTGCAAAATTGATCAAGTAATTAAGTCATTAACTGCATCAGAATGAATGGAAAATCGGAGATATGGACATGACTGGTTGGTTTTTCCTCTTCATGTAAAACCGTGCTTGTTTGTGCCTACCGAATTTTGGGTTCGACCTTCAACAAAGGATTTGCTTTTATGTGCTTTCCTTGTTGGTTATACATGTTGATTTTGATTTGATGTTAAAGGACCCCTTTTGTTACTTTAGTATAAGAACTGGTGAAGTATTCTAGTTATGGAAAGTTCGATTAGCATGGGTTTAAGTATGCTCGAAACGAGGTGACTAACTTTAAGAACGGGAGGTGATGCTAGCTTTGATATAGTTGTCTAGTATGTATTAGGCTTTCCATCTTTTTTTGCTCTCTATAGTCTAAGAGCCGTTGAGCGTCCTTAGCTTATAAGCATGTGTTGCAGTGCCAAGTTCTATGCATGGACGTGAAATATTTCTGTTTGCTATGGTGTTATTGGTTTAGATAGGATAGGTACAGGTTGGTATGATTATACTTGGATGCTTAACCAATACCATATTGTTTGGTTTCAAGTAAGATCACATTAATTGGGTCATTCATCTAAATGATAGGCAAAACTTGATTCTGACTTCCTGTTTATAATTTAATAAATGCGGCTAGTATAAAAAAAAAATAATTTACCGATTTTATTTTGTATTTTCACATAGATGATCCAACTAAGACAGAGCACCTGCATGCGCTTGATGGAGCCCAAGACAGACTTCAACTTTTCAAAGCAAATCTGTTGGAAGAAGGTTCTTTTGACTCTGCTGTTGAGGGTTGTGAAGGCGTATTCCATACTGCATCTCCCTTTTATCATGATGTCACAGACCCAAAGGTTCATCCACTAACACTTTTTTCAAATGAATTATGATCTTTTTTGTCTGTGCGTTAGATTCTTCTCTGTTCCTGAAGGTACTTAGCTTCTTTCTTATAAGTTATATAATTCGTAGTATAAAAAACTTTTAGTTACCGACAACTAAAGCCCATATTAACAATAAAAGGTCGTACCCAGTGCACAAGGCTCCCGCTTTACGCAGGGTCTGGGAGAGGTGAATGTCGGCTAGCCTTACCCCCATTTATGGAGAGGCTGCTCCCAACTAAAGCCCATATTAACAATATAATTATTAAATTCATCATTATGCATCTACTTGTTGAAATCATAAACACTAGGAATTAGACATGCACTCAAGAAGACTTTTCAATTTTATCTCACAATTAAATATATAGCCGTGAAGTCAATTGTGGCATCTGCCTCATAGGCTATGTGGTTCAGCACCTGTAATGTCCTCTTTTAATCATAGGGTGATATAAGGCATATATATCATAAGAGAGAAATGGTAACTTCTCCAACAACATACTAAAGATATATTTTCTCATAATTGGAAAATGCCCTTTTTTGTTCTTCTAACTGGAGTATTTGAATGCTTTTTCATTCAAAACATACAAGAACATCTATTTACATATTTACTTAGTTGCGTTATGAAACAAACTCAGGAGTTTGATAGTGTTTTTGTGTTAAAAAAGCACTTGAAGTGCATTTTGGAAGGACTTGAAGTGCATTTTGGAAGAAGCACCGGTTGCTAGAAGCGCTTGAAAGCTTTTCTAGGATTCACTTGCATTTTTACTAAGGATTGGTTCCAAAAGCACTTTCATCAAAAGCACTTTCAACCATTTTAAAAGCACTTCCAAACATTTTGTTAGCATTCTGCTTTTGCATAATAATAGGTAGCTGGTTTGTATGGTTTTTAACTGCTACATAGTTGTTGCCTCATTTCAGGCAGAACTACTTGAACCTGCGGTAAAGGGGACCCTTAATGTTCTTAATTCGTGTGCGAAATCACCATCAATCAAACGGGTGGTTTTGACATCTTCTATAGCCGCTGTAGCATATAATGGAAAGCCTCGAACTCCTGATGTAGTAGTTGATGAGACTTGGTTTACAGATCCAGATGTTTGTAAGGAATCAAAGGTATGCATACTATCATTCTTAGTGCTCTTGTGAAAACAAAATATGGTGATACATTGTGAGTCATTGTGTTGTAATGGTACAGCGGTAAGTTAGTATCATTTTTTTAATTTGGTTTCTATTCCCCGAGAGTTAACCAAGCCAGAATAATATGGTTGTGACTTGTGAGCCTACTTGTGTATGAACGGACAATGGATCTGTTTATAATATGCAAGTTTCTCTTGTTCTATTTAATGGTTGATGAAAGTGTACAGTAGAGAAGAGGATTTAGAAGTGAATGGAGAAACTGGTTCCTTTGTCACATGCACATTTTGAAGTTCAGTTGACTCATCCATTTTCTGATATATATAACCTTCTGAAATATATGGGTGAGTGCATATATGTGCGTATATGTCTTTACATGGAACATGAAATTATGGTTTGGAGAGCTGAATCAATTGGAACCTAAAAGATATATAACTCTTTTCCTTCTTACCAAATAAGGGTTTAAAATTATTATAGAGCACTTTGTGTGAGAAACTTCCCTGAGAGTCTGTTTTCCTTATTGTAAGTTAAAAAAAGCATATATGTTGACCATGTTAGTTGTTTCTTATGTTGTGATGTCTTGTCATCTTAATCTCTCAGTCTTATGTTACATTTTGCTATGTGCTTGCATGTTCTCAATCTATGAACTCTGGTACCTAAGAATATGGTGTAATACTTGTGCTTCCGTGTTGAATTTAAGAAATGAGATTTCTTCATTGTTTAATGGTTAGTACTCAAGATTTCATTTATTCTATTCCATGGCCGAAACCACTTTTTCATGATTGGAGGTTCCCATGGCAATAGGTATAATTTAGTCACTAAACATGTAGGATTTTGATGTGTTCTCAATGCCATGCATTTATTTCATGTTATTGATGTGCATCAGGAAATGTTATGCCAGTCCTATAAGGTTTTAACTGCCTCGTGAAAGATTTTATTGGCTTCTGCGTTGATTAGAATAGGGATTCTTTACTATTTCGCATTAATATGGTGGTGAATTTTTCATTATTTTGTAACAAAATATATTTTCATTTCTTTTTTCCCTTAATTTCTCCAGCTTTGGTACGTGCTTTCAAAGACTTTGGCTGAAGATGCTGCGTGGAAATTTGTAAAGGAGAAGGGTATTGACTTGGTTACAATTAACCCCGCAATGGTGATAGGTCCTCTGTTACAGCCAACTCTTAATACAAGTGCTGCAGCAGTTTTAAATGTTATTAAGGGTAATGTTTCTTTACTGGTGTTTGTAACATTTCTTCATATCAATGAGTAAAACGTTTCTGCTCAACAAGCTAGAAGAAGGACTAAATGTCTTAAATAGAACATTAGATGATAATTTAAAAAGGTTGTTTCTTCATGTTGAGTCCAGGTGATGCTCTATGGTGGCCTTTTTCTCCCATTTTCTTCTACTGTATATATTTCAAAACATAATTTCAAGTTTTGTTAGTTATCTCTTACCTATTAGCATCCCAACCAGAGGTGTTTTATATCTGAACTCGCAGTATCTTACTTGGATACCGTTCAGTGAAACAAACAGTTTTCTGTTAAATATATTGATAAAAGTGTTCCAACATTTAGTCTAACACTTGGTGCTCTCTTTGTCCATGAAGTACCTGACTAATTCTTCACCTCTTTGTGCGATGCAGGAGCTCGAACTTTTCCAAATGCAAGTTTTGGATGGATTAACGTTAAAGATGTTGCCAATGCACATATTCAAGCATTTGAGAGGCCTACCGCTAGTGGCAGATATTGTTTGGTTGAGAGAGTTGCCCACTTCTCAGAAGTTGTGAGAATTTTACGTGAGCTGTACCCTACTTTGCAACTTCCAGAGAAGTAAGTCTGTGTCCCCAGCCAATTTAAATTTGGGTATAACTTTGTGATTAGTAATAGTCACTTCATATTTTCGACTGTCCCATGATTCCGATACTAATCGGTTTTATATATTTTTTTTCATATTAAATTGCAGTTTACGACATAAATGAGCATTGCTGTATTTGAAATTTTATGGTATTATTGGTTTTACCGGTTATTTTGCGTTCACAATATGCCCTCATTTCGCATCCTTCTCACCTTTCAATCACTCTGAAGTTGAAGTTGCTGCACTTATACTGCCTATAGATGCTCTTCATTTTGCATACCTTTGTCAACCAATTTTGATTAAAGCACACATAATTGTTGCTAATTTTTTCACCATATAACGGGGATCAAGGCAATAGATATTTTTCATAATCCTTCATTTTCATGCAATTTGCAGGTTAACAACTTCGTTTATTTAAATTAAAAGTAAAATATAAATTCCTAGCATGACCTGCATTGTTCTTGATAGTGTGTGTTGATTCCAACATTCTTCTTATCATATGCTTTTAGAGACAATGTTAAACCCCGTCATTTTCCCGGTTGTTTTGATGTGGTGGTTCCATGGAAATTAATTTGTGTTATTTTCTTTTTCAACTGGCATTTCCAGGTGTGCAGACGACAAGCCTTTTGTGCCAACATATCAGGTGTCCAAGGAGAAGGCGAAGAGCTTGGGTGTCGAATTTATTCCACTAGATGTTAGCCTCAAGGAAACAGTTGAAAGTCTGAAGGAAAAGGGTTTTGTCAATTTCTGAGTCATTTCAGTACGGTGAAGATGTTTGAAGTAAATTCAGTCGCGGTAAAACATATTATCTGCTTCCAGTTTGTGTTTCCGGTTGGTGACTTAAACTCCGGTTTCCCTTTTTCGGTTTAAGACTTGCTGTCCAGCTTGTTGATTCCTATAGATCACCATTGTGTGTGCAGAATAAAGAAGAAATGAACCTTTTGAATAAAATCTTGGAATCGTCTGAGTAAAGTGCGCTCATGCAACTTTATCCCCATTGATATTAGTGATCTCCTGTTTTGCTTGTACTGCTACCATTCCAAGTTTCCAACAATTCTCAAGAACAAACAATATTCAAAATAGAAAAAAAGGGAAACTTAAAAAGACTTTTTAACTAACGCCTTTTAGTAGAGGTGCCTGTTTTTGCTTTTCATACATTTTTTTTCAAGTTTTGACGGTTGAATCAAATGAATTGAAGAAAATTAAAAACTAAAAATTAACAAGAGTGCGTGGAAAGTAAAAGTAGGTGTGTGAATAAGACTTTCCTTAAAGTAGAGTCTAAAGTACACTAATGGGGTGTGCTATCCACACACCCCAAATTACTTCTTATACACCCCTTGTTAATTTCTGTCCGTTGATTTTCTTTAATTCATCCGATCAGACGGCCGAAAATTAGAAGGGTGTGTGAGAAGTAAAATGAGGTGTGTGGATATCACATCCCTACATAATATTAATAGGAAATGATAGAATGACCATCTTTGTATAGCGTTTTTAAAAGCCCGGGCCCATTTTTGCGGCCCATTTGTGCGGGCAAAGATAATCTGTTGGATTTGATCTCGACGATTGTAAAAAATATCAGTCAAAGAGAGCTTATAGTGAAACGGGGTCATAATGACCTGTCATTAAAACCCATTGGACCGGACAAGTTCTATTTTTAATTATTATTATTCTTAATCAAAAACTCTCCCTCCTTGACAATGGTTACATTTGCATTAAACTTGTCGTCTCCTCCGCCCAAAACTGTCCAGCTAACTATTTCAAAAAACAAAAAAAAAATAAAATAAAATTAATTCTTCCATAGCGTTTGAAACTCATATGAAGTTGTCTAGCATCGTTCAAAACTCAATCAACTTCCACATTGGGCGTTTGATATTCAGAATTAGTTTGTTTGAAATTGATTCGTAATTTGTCTAGTCGGTTCGACAGAAAGGACGTGATGTTTGTTTCCTTCTGGTCATGTTCAAAGTCCTTGCTTCCACAATACTCCATGCCATACTTCCTTTTGCCAAATTCAATTTGAAATTTGGTGAGTTTAGAAAGTTGAAACCCTAGAAACAAATTTTGTTATTTCATATGAAATGATAGTAACTCACTTTTATTACAACGTATTATTAGCAAAAGTATTTATTTTGTGAGTCTAAAATATATTTATTAATATAAAATTATAGAAAGACCATCCTTGTATCGTACAATATTTTTCACATCTTTACTATTAGTAAATAACTATGTATAAAATGGAAGAGAGAGAGAAACACGTATGTGTATAAATTAGTAGGGGTTATATTTGAGTGACTTTAAGAACTTGGACATCCACTACCTGCAATGTGGGAATGCTGATAAGAGAGAGATAATTGACAAATACAAATTTTGAAAATTAGTAAATAATTATGTAAGGGTTTGTTTGAAAATTCTTGTCTAAAATCAAATTTATTAGACGCACACATATGTTTTCAATAAAAATGCATTAGAAATTTACTTGAAATGCTTTTTGTGACGACCCATCCTGAATTAATATACATTTTATCCTCGAATGTGTGGAAATGACAATTATACCCTCAAGTCGTAGTGATGTGGATGTACGTATATGGTTTTAAATTATTTTCCTGTGGACGTAATTAAAACATACTCGATGTCACGAGAGCGTTGACCCAACTTAGGATCAAATCGAGTTCGTAACGGAAATGTTACGAGCAAATAGGTGTAGATGAATAAGTTTTGGTTTTGCAACTAAACCTACCAATTATTTTCTTTTCTTTTCCTACAACCTTGGACCAATTGTTAGGCCCTAATTCCATAGCCCAATCAAGGCTTTGTTTCTTTTATTTCTGCCCAATCCCGTACCACACATATACACTTACACATGCAAACCTTCTGTTTCTCTCTTCTCTCTTCTCGACTCTTATCCCTTGTCCGTACGATCCGAGCATTCAACTCTCAAACACCATCCAAACTTCATCGATCAAGCTTGAGCTTTACACCAAAGTGTTCCTAGTGACTTCAGTACCATTGGATCAAAGAAAAGATCATAGGAACCCAAGAACCTAGGAGCTCCAGCGTGGTGCTCTGTTGCTCCGTCATGATCGTGGTTATTTCACGGAGTTTTAAAGCTTAAGGGAGTCTCAAAACTACTCCTTAGAGACCTGGGAACAATTTTTGGAAGGTTTTGGACGTCAGGATAGGCCAGTTCCTCAAGTTGCAGGTTGATAGGAATATTCAAAATATATTATGACTATATTTTGTCCATTTTAGGACCTCTGAGAGGTAAGATCATGTTCTACTAGTTCAGGGCTTCAAATTGATATAAAGTTTGTGAAATTTGGTTGAAAAACGAGGAAGATATTAAGGTTTAAATTTTTTTTCCAGAAACCGGCAACGCAGTAGCGACCGGCGACCCACCGGATAAGAAATGAGAATATTCCGTCAAATTTGATGGAATATACTAACGGCATCAGGTATATTTAACGGAATATTCTCTAACGGCGTTTAAGTTTCTGTCCAATGTGCCAGGCACGTGCCTACACGTGGCTGGCGCGTGGGTCATCGAAAAATTATTCTAAAAATATGGGGATGCTTGTGGTGTTGAGTAGGCCACGATGGTATATTCAAACACCCCAATTGAGCAACGCATGAGAAGTTATTATACGGTTTTGATTATGTGCTTACATTAACGTTAAATCAGTGGTTTCACATATAGGCGAGAAGTTCCCGGAGGACGAGCGTAGCGATGCGAGACTCGGGGGTTACGACCCAGCTACATACCAGTGAGTGGGCTTTTGGTTTTCTATATATATATATATACGCGTATATATGATTTACATTTTCCCAGAAATCGTTTTAAATGAAATTATGTTTTAAATGCCATGTCAATTGCATTACATTTTAGTATATGCATTAGTATAGATACGCATATTATTGCATGGTGCTGCAGACACACAAGTAAGCTCCAAGTGAGTACATATTGATGATAGTGATTGCAGTGTGTATGATTATGTTGAGATACATTTAGTGCTCATTATCATACACCCCGGTGTTAGTGCTCCGCTCTAGGACAGGGCCTAGCCTTCACGTGATCGTTCACCTCCCATACCACACGCTCACCTTGGATCCAAGGTAGGTGCCAGCCTGTTGTACAGACCACATTAGGTGGTTTCGAATCGTAGGTGACTTGCGATACTTCACACAACCTTCACGTGATCGTAGCACTTGAGCGTATTTATTTACACCCAGCCTGTCGTACAGACCACATTAGGTGGTTCCGACTCGTGTGTAGAAATTGGTTATGAGTGATAGATTCAGCCGTATAGGTCACGTTAGGTGCTCCCGTTGATATATCATTTTATTTTGATTTACATCGCCTGGCTTACATATTTATCATTGAGATACTTGACATGGTACATACTTTGGTTTTCATTGCTTTCAAGCATGATTTCTATATACGTATGTATTATTATTTTCTGGGAAATTGTACGGGTTTTACGGTGAGGGGTTATTATTTTTGGAATGAGAAATGATTTTTAAAAGCTTTGTTTTTGCCCACTTACGTTTTCTGTTTTGCGCCCCTCCAGGTTTTAGTTAGAGGTTCTTGTTGGTGGCTCATGAGGACTCTACGGTAGTTCTGATAGACATCCATCAATGTAGGGTTTTTTTTCATATCCTGTATAATTAGTATTTAGCCTGCTGGACTGCACCTTGGTAACTACGCTCTGATTATGTGTATCTACACTCTAACACTTCCACTCGTACTTATATACTAGTCTAGTGTAAGTTAGCTAGTTTGGTTTTTATTTACCTAACATTTTCATATCACAATCACTTCCGCACTGCGCATATGGCTATATCATCACCACATGATGGCCAGCACGCGTCGATTTAGGTCGGGGTGTGTCAGTTTAGTATCAGAGCCTAGGTTTGGCAGTCCTTCATATTTTGTGAGTATTCTAATCATTTTGATGTCTTATGTGAGAACCATGCCACCTCGTAGAAAGCCACGTATTTCTTCTGAGTCTAATTTTTCGAATATTACCCAACTTAGGGAAGCTCTTGCTAGTGCTATCTAGTCCTTACTTCCTCCTCCTCAGAGAACTCCCTTGGAGACTGTTTATAACCTAAAGTTGAATATCTTTGCTGGTACTGAGGGGCCCAAGCGAGCTGAGCGGTGGCTTAATCATGTCGTGAAAACTTATCGAGTGTTGCAGAGGCAAGAGAATTTCCTTGAGGATAGATGGGTTGAAACGACTACTTGGTTTTTAGGTGAGGAGGCTGCATCCTGGTGGAGGCAGGAATCTTTTTAGTTGTCACCAGAGGAAACTGCTGATTGGGAGATTTTTAAGCAGTTATTCCAGAAGACATTTGTGCCCCCAGAGTATATAGATTGTAAGAAGCAAGAATTCACGCGTCTAAAGCAAGGGAAAAATGTTAGCTAATGAGTATTATAGAAAGTTCACTAATTTATCTCAGTATTGTTCGGATATTGCTGAGAATCCTGCTGAGATGCTTCGACGATTCAAGTGGGTAATCGAAAAAATGACATTTTATGGTGACCACGACTCCTTGCTCTACATATAAGGAGTTTTATGAGATTCTACTACGGGTGGAGGATTATGAAAATATGCCCAGTGACATTGAGGAAGAGGAAGAAAAAGATAATAATCAGAAGAAAAACTATAATAAAGATAAAGGTCAGTCATCACAGGGACCTCGTAAAACGCAAAGTTTTAAGAGAAGTGGTACTAGTTTTGGTTCTTCTAGTGAGGGTTCGAATTCCACGGTGCCACGGAGGGGTGCCCGTTCAGGCGGTTCTCGCTTCTAGGGACATAGAGGTTTTAGTGGTTCTGGTGGTCCATTATGCTGCAGGTGTAATAGTCGACACTTTAGTGAGTGCAAGCAAGGTAACAAAGGATGTTTTATTTATGGTCAGATGGGACATCGGGTTAATTAGTGCTTGTAGAGCCAGCAGAAGCCTCATCCATTTGCCTTGCACCACCAGTTCATATTTAGCAGATT